GAGACACAATTAATTGGTCGACTAAAATACACAGAAAAAAAATTAGCTGGGCGTGGTGGCGCGTGCCCGTAGTCCCAGCTACTAGGGAGGCTGAGGCAGGAGGATCGCTTGAGCCCAGGAGTTTGAGGTTGCTGTGAGCTAGGCTGACGCCACGCACGGCACTCTAGCCCAGGCAGCAGAGAGAGACTCTGTCTCAAAAAGAAAAGAAAGAGGCTGGTGCTTGAGGCAAAACACGTCTCGTTTAGGACCATGCTTAGCTTTCGAATAGAAACCACATTGTGTGGCTACTTGCCCCTCCCTTGTGCTTGGAATCGTCCTAGCAACGATCTACAGGTAAACTGCGCCAAGCACCGTGGCCTGGGCTAACGTTAGCTGTATTCAGCAAGCGCATAAGCAGCGTCAGCCGCAAGGGCCGTGCAAAAGAAAGTCCACAGCGAGGCTGTGGGTTTGGGGCAGCCATTCGGATTTTAGGAACTGCCTTCAGATTTGTAGGTTCCTTCTTGGGCCATGTGGTCTTATCTCCAAATCCCCGTGGGGCCCACGATTTTAGAAACTGGGCTCTCGGATGTGACAAGAATAAGAGCCTGCTGTGGCCGTCCCCCAAGCGTGGGCAGAGCTAGGATGGACGGTTTAATCTAACCCGTGTGTGGGGCACTCGATAACATTGCATCTGTCGTGCGTTTTCATTGGTCATTAAGGTAGCCCTGTAAGAATTTTTTTCAAAGTATCTTGCTGGGTAAGTTAGCCTAGAAACAAGCCCCCAAAACACCTCCCCAAAACATATGTATTTCAGTACAGTACATGTTAAATTGATTAAAATACAGTAAAAAAAACAAACCCACATATTTCACTATAATGGGTTTTATTTTCAATCATTTTACTTTAAATTTTATTTTAAACTTACGACCTCGTTCTTCTTCTACAAACTCCTCCCTAGTGATTTTTATGGTCATTCCATGAATGAATTAACCATCTAGGTAAAGGAGGCGCTCGATACATTGTAGCCCAGGCAGCCGTCTTCCCTGCCCATGTATGGACCGTCTGTTACTCAACCACTTGGGAATATTACCTTTTGTGGATGAAGCCTGGTGGTTTGGCCAAACTCACATCTATGGGAGGTTGTCCCTACTTCCATTGTTGCTCTCTCAGTAATCGCTGTGTGCTAATATCTCTATACCTTCGAGAAGACATCTGATCAGCAAGTCCTTTAACGCACGGCGCGTTTAGTATCCCTCAAAGCCAAAACACAGGTGTGCGTCTCACACCTGGTGCTGAGACCGGGCGAGCCTCCTTAAGAGCACGCCTGACTCCGGCAGGGGCGGCTTCAGGTACTGCTTGCTCTGGGCTCCACAGAGAACCTGGGGACACTTTCTGCCAGGCGGTCTGTCCTGTGGGGCTTTACAGAAAGCACGTCCACTTGAGAGGAGGCGGCTCATCTGCACTGTGGCGTGCTTGCAGCATTGACCGTGCAGATCGTTCCAGGCTCCCGTGAGCCCGTGTATGATCGTTCCAGGCTCCCGTGAGCCCGTGTATGATCGTTCCAGGCTCCCGTGAGCCCGTGTATGACAGTGTAGGGGCAGCAACCACGAGCGTGGCGTGTTGCTGGCTATTGGGGCCCCCAGGGATCTGCCATCTGGGCTTGGTCCCCAGATGGCACTGTCTTTCCTGGGTCCCAGCTACCCACCCCCTGCCGCCTGCGGGTGGTTTTGCCTAATCGTCACGGGTGGGGACGTCTTGGGCTCTGGCCCGAGTGTGTCGGGGGTTGGCAGAGCAGTGCAGGAAGCCTTGGGCGTGGAGGGAAGCAGACGGCACACCCTGCGGCAGGCACCTGCGGGGGGCCAACCTCCGTTCCTGCACGGGGAGGACCTGCCAGCCAGCACTTGGCCCCCCGCCCTGGGGTTCCCGTCTGTGTGGTGGTGTCACCTGAGCCGCTGACACCATAGACCTCTCCCCCCTCGCCCCTGCCCGAGCCCAGAGCACCTCTTCTATTTTCCTCCTCGCGCTTCATCTGGTGCAGGTGGGCAAAGACTTCTGCCTGCGAAGAGGCCGCTTGCGTTGCAGACAGACTCCTGTCTTCTCTGCTGTCGTCGCTGCTGCCAACGGACCCAGGGATTCGAGGGCTTTACTTTTCTGTCTCCTTAGAACCGTGCCCGGAAAAAAAGGCTCAATATCATCATTGTGGCTGAAGGAGCCATTGACAGGAAGAACAAGCCCATCACCTCGGAGGAGGTCAAGCAGGTGAGGCCCCCCGCTTTCCCCTCGAGCCCCCCGCTTTCTCCCCCGGGGTTGGAGGTGGCCCCCGGCGGCTGTGCTCTGGCTTAGACCCCTGCGTCGTCATCGTCGGGCGTTTTTTTTCTTCCCGATGTTTAAAAACGTTTTCATGGTGACTCGTGACGTGGACGGCATGGGAAACACACAGGGGAGTTCTGGTCACGTGGCCACGCGTCGTGGTCTCTGCGTTAGAAAGTTGCGGCTCTTAAACGTCAACGGCTCCGAGAATGAGAATGGAGCTCTTGGCAGCCAACGTAGGACTGCGGAAACGGTGGTGTCTCCCCGTGACCCGTCCCCCTCCCAGCCCCGAGCATCTTGCTGGGCACGTTCTCGCGCACAGAGAAGGTGCCGTGTGGGGCTCAGCGTGGCCATGTGGCTCCGGCAGGGGCAGACGCCGGCGGGCTCGGTGCCGCGGGGCTCGCTCGGGACTGGTGCCCGCCGCCCCACCCCCCGTCTGGCGGGAACTGCGGCAGGCCGGGCCGCAGACGGCTGCGGTTCACGCCTCGAGCCAGGGCGGGAGACGGCCCCAGCCCGGCTTTGCAAGTCAGCGTCCTTGTGATGCTCAGTCTCGGTCAGCTAACCACGACATGTGCCTCTCAGCGCTGCGTTGGCCAACGCGGCTCTGCACACGGGTGTCGGAACGCGGGCAGACCCTGCGGGAGACGTGTGCCGGCGCCTGTGAGAAGTGGCTAGTAAAGTCCGGGCAGAGGTTTTCGTTCCAGCTGCATTGGCACGAAACCACGGAACAGGGGGCCGAGGAGGGACCTCGGGTTTGACGCGCCCAGCCCCGCTGTTCCACAGGGGGCAAGGTGGCCGGGCTGTGTCGCCCGCTGGCTGCGTGTGGCCCGGGCTGAGGGGAGGGCCTGGATGTTGCTGGGCCGTGCTTTGCAAGTCAGAGCTGTGCAAATGTGAGGCGGACGAAGGGAAATGCTACATCACAAAATATAAGTAACACTTTATAGAACACTTTATAAAATGTAAAGTAACACTTTGAATAGAAGCTACTGAAACGGTGATTTTAAAAAAAAAAAAAAATCAAGTCACTCACATTCATTTGCAAGGATGGGAGATCAAGGTTTTGTTTTGCGGTGATGTCGAAGCATTATCTTAAAAGATATATAGCTGTGTGAATAGCAAAGGAAACGAGGAAGCAAAATGTAGATACGACCAAATATTTTTCCCGCTTGGATCAGAGGAAAGAACAGAGGAGTCTTTCCCCGGCCCGGGCCGCCGCGCCCGCGTCGAGGCTCCGTGTTTCCTAACGGGTGTTTCCTCGCAGCTCGTCGTGAAGCAGCTGGGCTACGACACGCGTGTGACCATCCTGGGACACGTGCAGAGAGGAGGGACACCCTCCGCGTTCGACAGGATCCTGGTGAGAGGGGAGGGAGGGCGGGGCCGGGCGTTTTCCCGGGAGTCCCCGGCGGTCCACGGCGGGAAGGCTTGCTGGGCGCTCACCCCCCGGAGGTCCCGGCGCCCCGTGCCCTTCTCTAAAAGGTCCTTTGGGACCGGCCGGCGTGGCGGGGTCCCTCGGCCTGTGGGCGGCCAGACGGGCTGATGGTGCCGTGAGGCCGCGTCTCTGCCCCTGACCTTTCTCTGTCCACGTGGCCCCGACCTTCCCTCTGCTCCCGCCCCACTGAGGGTCCTCCCGGCATTTGGAGTCGCTTTGCTAGGGAGAGTGGCCGGGGCGGGGACGGCTAGGGGCAGCCACCGGGGGACCAGGTGAGACCCTGGGAGAGAGCAGGAGCTGCCTCCTGCCGCGGTGGGGCTGCCCGTGACCGGCGTGGACGCCGTCTTCCAGGCCAGCCGCATGGGGGTGGCGGCGGTCATCGCCCTGCTGGAGGCCACGCCCGAGACGCCGCCTTGCGTCGTGTCGCTGAGCGGGAACCACCCCGTGCTCCTGCCGCTGATGGAGTGCGTGCAGATGGTGAGCTGGGGCGCGCCCAGCCCGGGCCGCGCAGGAGGCGGGTCCGGCGGGGAAAGGCTGACTCTTGACTCTTTCTTTTCCATATATATATATATTTTGCAGACGCAGGACGTTCAGAAGGCAATGGATGAGGGGAGGTTTCAAGACGCCGTGCGGCTCCGAGGGAGGTGAGGGGCCTTGGAGAGAGCTCCGTGTCACTGCGTCACCGTGTCACTGTGTCACCACCCCCCCCAGGCCGGGCTGCTGAGAACCTGCCCAGATGCTGTGCTTTTTCCTCTCTCCAAGTCGGGCGATCCACGCAGGCAGCTGTTTTTGCAGATTGAAGGCCTAGAGCAGGCGTCCTCAAACTACGGCCCGAGGGCCACGTGCGGGTGTTTTTGCCCATTGTTGTTTTTTTTTTTTACTTCAAAATAAGATGCGTGCAGTGTGCATAGGAATTTGTTCATAGTTTTTTTTAAAAAACTATAGTCCAGCCCTCCCACGGTCTGAGGGACAGTGAACTGGGCCCCTTGTTTAAAAAGTTTGGGGACCCCTGGCCTAGGTGATAGAGGGAATTTTTTGTTGGTTGGTTGGTTGGTTTTTTTCCTGGCATGATCGGGAGCTGTTCTGGAGCTGATGAGGTGCAGGGCCGGGGTGACACGTCACAGCCCTGCCTCGAGTGAGGCCACTGTTCCGAGTGGCCCCTTCTCCCTCCTTCTCCGTCCGTGATTCCCAACTCCCGGCCACCTGCGTCCTTTTCTTTCAGGAGCTTCGAGGGCAACCTGAAGACCTACAAGAGTCTGGCCATCAAGCTGCCGGACGATCAGATCCCAAAGGTAGGCAGGCAGGGCAGGCGGCCTCCGCCCTCTTCCGCCCGGCCGACATGTCAGGCCCAGCCCAAAGGTCAGCGCCCTGAGAGGCATCCTGGCCTTGAGCCGACCTCCCTGACCTCAGTCCAACCTCCCCGACCTGGGGCCGGCCTCGGGCCGACCTCCCCAACCTGGGACCGACCTCCCCGGCCTCGGGCCGACCTCCCCAGCGGGGCCAGGGTCCCGGCTGGGCACGGGGGCCGCTGCCAGGGGGCAGCGCGGTGTGGGACTCATGCACGCCGGTGACCCGGCTGCGCCGCTGTGGCCTCCGGTCCGCAGAGCAACTGCAACGTGGCGGTCATCAACGTGGGCGCGCCCGCGGCGGGGATGAACGCGGCCGTGCGGTCGGCCGTGCGCGTGGGCATCGCCAACGGACACAGGATGCTCGCCATCTATGACGGCTTCGACGGCTTCGCCAAAGGCCAGGTGGGCGGTGCAGGTGCCTGCTGGGGCCTGAGCCTCACCTTGAGCAAGAAGGCCGCCCCCTTCCTCCCTCCCCTCAGCCTCCACCCTCCGGGGTCTATCGCCGGCGGCCTTCCCTCTCCACCCTGTGCACGCAGCAAACACAAGGGCCTCCTGCTGACGGCAGTGCCCTGGATCCTCGGCTGGTTTGTTGCCCCCGGGTTGGGGGGCAGGGGACCCATCACGTCCTGGCGTGCCGGGCATCGTGGCGAGAGCGTCTTTGCAGATCTCGGTGGCTACGGCAGTCGGAGCTCTCTCTCTGCAAAGCGCCGACTCCCTTCTCTTCCTCAGCCATAGCCGTCTCACTCTGTGTTTCCCGTCAGATCAAGAAATCAGCTGGACAGACGTCGGCGGCTGGACGGGCCAGGGCGGGTCCATCCTCGGGACAAAACGGTGATTTCCAACCTGGACTCCCTTACCCCCACCTGCCCGTGGGAAGGGAACGGGGCCCGTCCCAGAAGGACTGGCGGGCGTCATCTGGGGACTGCTGTTTCCCACGGGGATGTTCCTCGAGAGTGCAGCTCGGGAGGTTTACCTGTCCTCACTCAGCCCAGGAAATGAGAGGTTGTGGCCCAGGGAGTCCCCCTGGGGTGGCAGAGGGGACGGGAGGGCCACCAAGGCTTGGTCACTGCGCCGGAGTGAGCCCAGAGCACCGTCCGCAGGATGTCGGTGCTGGTGGGGACCACAGCTCTGGCCACCCGGCGAATTCTGGTATAAAAACGTCCTTTCTAGGCCCCAGGCAAGGTGGCTCACGCCTGTCATCCTTAGCACTCTGGGAGGCCGCGGCGGGA